TCATCCCCAACATCACCTTTCTTTTTCTTTCTTTCTTATTCCAGACAAAACTGTGCCCCCCCTCCCCCTCCTCCTTTTTTAATGGCAAAACAGTGTCATAGTCCAGCTTGAATTCAATAAAAGATTAAATTCAAGGACAAGGTAATCGAAAATAAGTCAAGCAGGTCTCTTCAAAGTAAACGTAAAAAAATCAAGGTCAAGGCCAAAAATTAAGGTCAAGGTCAAAATTCAAGTTCAAGGTCAAAAATCAAGGTTAAGGTAAAAAATCAAGGTCAATGTCAAAAATCAAGGTCAAGGTAAAGGTAAAAAATCAAGTTGAAGGTAAAAAATCAAGGTTAAGGTAAAAAATCAAGGTCAATGTAAAAAATCAAGGGCAATGTCAAAAACCAAGATCAAGATTAATATCAATAATCAAGGTCAATGTCAAAAATCAAGGCCAAAGTAAAAATCAGGGCCAAAGTAAAAATCTAGGCCAAAATCAAAAATCAAGGCCAAGGTCAAAAATCAAGGTTAAGTTCAAGTAAAGATCAAGTATAGGGGAGTTAAGATGACCCACCTGCACAGCTGTTTGCTTTCATATGGCTTTGTGTTTTGTCTAAAGCTCTTTTACCCTCCAACCCCAGGTTGACAAACAGCTCCAGCAGCTTCACCAGTAGATCAGCCATCCGGGCCTTCGGGGTAATTAGAGGATTAGTTCAGGGAACTTCAGGGCTATTGGGGTAATACGAGATTTGGATCAGGTTTGGGTCAGGATTGGGTTGAGGTTCTTCGTTGTAATTATTGGATTAAGTTCGGCGGGGTTTAGGGCTTTCGGGGTTATTTGTGAATTAGTTCAAAGGGTTGCCGTAGGGTTTAGTCCAAGGTGGTTTCGGGCCCTCGGGGTAATTAAAAGATAAGTTCATGTGGGTTTCCGGGCTTCAATTAATGGATTAGTTTGGGGGCTTCAGGGATTATGGGGTAATAATATTAGACCAGGGCGTAAATAATAAAATACACAAATCACTATGTAAAATGCACAAAAAATAGAATGGATCGTATGGCCAAAAAAAATGTATAAATGAGTAAAATAGTAAATGTATCTGCATTGTATAAATATTTGACCTCGTTTTCGGTATTGTCAATCATATTCGCCGCTATATTGGCGAGTGCGTTAATAACTGATCCAGACACATGACTGTACTCCTGTCTTCTACTGTCTCCATGCTGAATATAGAATAAATTAGTAGATAAACAATCATAAATAAATGACTGAATGAATAAATGAATAAATGACTGAAGGAATGAATGAATAAATGAATAAATGACTGAAGGAATGAATGAATGAATAGATGAATGAATGAAAGGATGAATAAATGAATAAATAACTGAAAGGATGAATAAATGAATAGATGAATGAATGAAAGGATGAATAAATGAATGAATGAAAGGATACATAAAATGAATGAATGAATATGAAGGAATGAATGAATGAATGAATTAAAGAATGAATGTAAGGATGAATGAATGAATGAATGAATAAATAAATTAAAGGATGAATGAAAGAATGAATGAGTGAAAGGATTAATGAATGAAAGGATGAATGAATGAATGAATGAATGAATGAAAGGATGAATGAATGAATGAATGAATGAAAGGATGAATGAAAGAATGAATGAAAGGATGAATGAAAGAATGAATGAATGCATGCATGAATGAATGAACCTGTCCATAAACTGCATGAGATGCTTCAACTGTAGTTTCGCTGAACAGCTTCATTACATCTTCATATACTTTGTCCTCATTCTCAGTTCTAGATAGATAGATAGATATACATTTAGGTAGATAGATAGAGGTATAGAAGAATAGATGCAATACATAGAGGAATAATTATATAGGTAATAAGAAGAATAGATAGAAGGATAGATATACATTTAGGTAAATAGATAGAGGTATAGAAGAAAAGATACAATACATAGAGGAATAATAAATATAGGTAATAAGAAGAATAGATAGATGGATAGATATACATTTAGGTATATAGATAGAGGTATAGAAGAATAGATACAATACATAGAGGAATAATAAATATAGGTAATAAGAAGAATAGATAGATAGATATACATTTAGGTAAATAGATAGAGGTATAGAAGAATAGATACAATACATAGAGGAATAATTATATAGGTAATAAGAAAAATAGATAGATAGATATACATTTAGGTAAATAGATTANAGACAAATAGACAAATAGACAAATAGACAAATAGACAAATAGACAAATAGACAAATAGACAAATAGACAAATAGACAAATAGACAAATAGACAAATAGACAAATAGACAAATAGACAAATAGACAAATAGACAAATAGACAAATAGACAAATAGACAAATAGACAAATAGACAAATAGACAAATAGACAAATAGACAAATAGACAAATAGACAAATAGACAAATAGACAAATAGACAAATAGACAAATAGACAAATAGACAAATAGACAAATAGACAAATAGACAAATAGACAAATAGACAAATAGACAAATAGACAAATAGACAAATAGACAAATAGACAAATAGACAAATAGACAAATAGACAACTGAATAAATAGACAAATAGACAAATAGACAAATAGACTAATAGACATACGGGTAGATATAGATGCAGACATGATCAATGAAGTTTTTGTAGTAGTGATTTATGTGATTTTGTTAATAAATCCATAAGACCTAACTTTGTTTTTGCCGTTGGTTTAACCTCGCTATCTTTCTAGTACTTTTTTGTAGCCATGAACATGTACATTTTTAGACCTAAAAGGGCTTTTTGCTTGTAAAAGAGTTGTTGGCATCATCTTGATAAATCGAGAGCGTGCATATTTTGTTTCCCAATAAAAGGTAAACTTTGTACCTGTTCGAAACAGAGGCAATAAATGCTTTGACCGAGTCAGGATCTGTTTTAATTCCTGCCCGCAGCGCTTTACAAATATTATCTGTATAAACAATAAGATTTCATATGCAACTGAAAATTGGATTTATAAGAAGCAGGGAAAAACAACTCTCAAAGAAGGGAAGTAATGGTCTATTTTTGTAAAACTGATTAAATAACTTAATGGAACTGTAGACCGTGTCAATTCACTCTTTATTTATTTATCTGAGCATCTAGGGGGAAAAATATCGGGAATTTAAAAATTGGAAATTACGTTTTTTCCTCTGCTTATGAATATCAGTTAAAAAACGAGAGCTTTTTTACAAGAAACATTTTATCAACCCAGAAGGTTATTGATGTAAAAATTTTGATGACAACATAATATGAAATCTGTCAAAAACGACCTCTTCTATGATATAATTAAAGTCTGAAATGAAATCGTGTAGTTTCCTATGGCTGTATCTCTAAGTTTCTCGAATGCTGTTACAACAGCAGAGTTCCCCTTGAGATCCCTTGTAGAGTCCAGAACATCTTGGTCTTCACTGTTAGTTACTAGGATATTATTATTATTATCTTGTTCCCTTGACCTCTTGTTCTCTTGTTCTCTTGTTCTCTTGTTCACTTGTTCCCTTGTCGACTTGTCCACTTGTTCCCTTGTCCAATTGTTCCCTTGTCCACTTGTTCCCTTGTCCACTTGTTCCCTTGTCCTCTTGTTCCCTTGTCCACTTGTTCCCTTGTCCACTTGTTCCCTTG